CCATGGGCTTCAACTTTCTAAAGCGTCTGGAGGAATTGGAAACCTCTTCATGGGCTGTGCATGTTTGCAAATACCAAATTAAAGAAACTATAGACAGGCTGATCTTCAGCTATTTCAGCTAGATCTAGAAAGAGAGCCGTTTCTTGAACAGATGGTGTTACCCTCCTGGTTTTCAATAGTGTAACAAATTTGCAGGAAAAAGATTAGCAAATCCTGTTGTTTGAAGTGTCCCACTGTAGTTCTCTACCAGGCATTGGTACAGATTATCCTGGTATCTGTTTTATAAATCCTGGGGTCTCCATTAGGCTTGGTCTACATAAATAATAGAATGAGTTGGAAGAGTCCTGAGGTGGAAGGCTAGGCTATACTGCTCCAAAATACCACTTCTGAATGTTCCTCCCACATAATAAACTCTTCACAAGCAGAAATCAAGCTTGTTTGAGGGACAAACCCTCCTAGTTCTTTCCTTGCTGTGCTAGCTTTCTGCTTGCAGGGAATTTAAAAACATGGGGGGGATAATTCAGAAATGTGCAGACCTACATACCCTATAAAGTGGTGCATTTCATTCTGGCGCAGAACAGGCCCAGTTCTAAAATGGCCAACGCTCTGGGACCTGATTAAACTGTGCATCCAATGTGAACATCTGCTTTCTCTAAATTCATATTTGTGTTTGCAGCCTAATATTCACAGGCATATGCTCTGCATGGCTGCAGGCATTGTTTGCTTAGTATTAACAGTACAGAACAAATAATTGAACTTCCATGGCAAATGGTGGTTCAGGTTTTAAGGAAACCCCAAAAGTATCACGATACATTTTTATGAGGTGTGATTTATATAGGAACTGTGTATTTTGGCTTCCTCATCTTTATGTCAAGGCAGATTAGCTTTATGGTGCCATTTTTATACCAAATCCGGCATGTACTGGTCCATGAATAAATCTTTAATGTTGACTTAGAAAACGTATGCCCTTGATTCCTTGTTTTAAATGAAATATCTACAGAACGCTGGAAGTAATTGTATTCTCTGTTTTTTGCTGAAGGACGTTCTGAAGTTATCAAAGTAATAATAACAAGATAGAAAAGTAATTTCTAAGTTTTCCCAACTGTATACATGCTGACAAGTTTCAAACAGTGCCCCTCTCCATTTTCAGCGGCCTTTCTTTTCTTGTGAAAGGACACAATTTCAGCCTGCGATACTTGTTGTATCATTGGGATTGTTTTGAATTCATTGGTAGTACTCATACATTTTACATTAGATGCACCACAAATTTCCTGCTGTACTGGGGACCTTCATTTCAGAGCTACCTTATACATTAAATGACATAAAATGATCCTATATCAAATATGAACATGTGACAGCAAGCCACAGGCAATCCCAGCATCCTGAGCCATGACATGCTATTGTTTGTTGTATGAGTAGTAGTAGAAGAAGAGATTGGATTTATACCCTGCCTTTCACTACCCAAAGGAGTCTCAGAGCGGCTTACAAACTCCTTTCCCTTTCCCTCCCCAAAACAGACACCCTGTGAGGTAGGTGGGGCTAAGAGAGCTCTGACAGAAACTGCTGTTTTTCAAGAACAGCTGTGCCGGAACTATGGCTTGCCCAAGGTCATCCAGCAGGTGCAAGTGGAGGAGTGGGGAATCAAACCCAGTTCTCCCAAATTAGAGTCCTCGCACTTAACCACTACATCAAACTGGCTCTAGAAAAATGGATGGATGTGAACAAGATGCAGCTCAGGGATAAGTGCCAAGTTCTACATCTAGGTAAAAAACCAAGGAACACGCATACTGAATGCGGGATACGCTTCTGGATAGCAGTGTCCCAAAGGAATCTGGTTTACAATTGCCTTTCCCTTCCTCTCCCCACAACAGACACCCTGTGAGGTAGGTGGGGCTGAGAAAGCTCTTTCAAGAACTGCTCTTGAGAAAACAACTCTGAAAGAACTTGTGACTGACCCAAGGTCACGCCAGCAGCTGCATGTGGAGGAGTGGGAATTAAACCCAGTTCTCCTAGATTAGAGTCCATGCTCCTAACCACTACACCAAAATAAGATCTTGGGTTATGGGCAGACCGTAAATTAAATATGAGCAGCCAGTGTGATGCAGCGACAAAAAAGACTAATGCGATCTTGGGGTGTATCAACAAAGGCATAACATCCAAATCACAAGATGACATAGTCCCGCTGTACACTGCATTGGTCAGGCCGCACCTGGAGTATTGTGTGCAGTTCTGGAAGCCTCACTTCAAAAAGGATGTGGACAGATGGAGCGGGCACAGAGGAGAGCAACGAGGATGATTGGGGCCCTGCAAACCAAGCCCCATGAGGAAAGGCTGAGGGACTTTGGAATGTTTAGATTGGAGAAGAGGAGTTTGAGGGGGGACATGATTGCTCTCTTTAAGTATTTGAAGGGCTGTCACTTAGAGGACTGTGGGCAGCGGAGGACTTGCAATAATGCTTTTAAATTAAGGACAGGAGGACTTGCAATAATGCTTTTAAATTAAGGACAGGAAGGTACCGGCTGGATATTAGGAAAATCTTTTTTTACAGTAAGAGTTGTGCAGCAGTGGAATCAGCTGCCTAGGGAGGTGATGAGCTCCCCCTCAATGGCTGTCTTTAAGCAGCAGCTGGACAAACACTTGCCAGGGATGCTCTAGGCTGATCCTGCATTGAGCAGGGGGTTGAACTGGATGGCCTGCATGGCCCTTCCAACTCTGTGGTTCTAATGTCGTTCTAAACATGCAGTGATTGTACACATCTCTTCTTCATGTGTAGGTAGTCAAAAAACCTGCTCAGTGGCTCTTCACTCACAAATTGTCATCAGCTATTTGTCTGTAGTTCTTTCACTCACATTTGGTAGCAAGCTATTTTTTCTTTGCTTTAACTGTAATTATTTTGGTCCATCAGAGTTATGCACACATTGTACATCGGCAGACTCTGTAAACTCACACAAAAGAATCCCCAACGTATAGCTTGAATTTTTGCAGTATTTGGTGGAGCAGTTTTGTGGGGATGGACAGGATGAAGAAGGGAAATGGAACGAAAGTCCAGTGGCACATTAAAGACTACCCACAGTTATTCCATTATGTGCTTTCACGAGTTACAGGTCAGTGGAGCTATGACTCATTAAAGCTCATAATGAAATAAACATTGTAAATCTTTAAAGTGCTATTGAGCTTTTGCTTTATTTTGTTATAACAGACTTGGGCTGCAGTCACACGAGCAGTTTGTGCCAATATCGTTTGCAGATTTAAAGAGCATGATCTGGCAGCAACCTCTGCCTTCCATGCCCCAGTTGTCGCCACCCCATTCTGCCCTGCCTTGGAAGCGGAGTAATCAGGCACCGAGAAGAGTCTAGTGTTTATGGATATCAGTGTTTTCACCCTGCATTTCCGGATGTCTGAACTCCCCTGGTGTGAGCTCAACCCAGTTGGGAAGTCTGATAATTCTGTTCCATTTTCGCTCCTTGTCCTTTTTTAGTCAGCAATGTGTGCATAACCGCATCTTCGTGCACACCAGCAAGCTTTCAGTTGTCCTCTGGGGTGGGGTGGGGAGAGGGCAGGCTGAGAAGCCTCCTTTGTCTTTTTTCATGCCAGTCCCCCTGCCTACAGCTTTGCAGCACACGGGGTGGGGGAGGGGTTAATTGAAAATGAGTTTATTCAGAGGGGGAGGCAGCCTCCTCCAGCTGTCGAAACGGAGTGGTCCTTCGACTAAGTGGTTACGTGCATATGCAAAGAACAAATTAAAAAAAGAAGCCACCTTACCACCCACTCTGTGGTGGCCCCGCAGCAATAATGTGAATGGTTGACCACGGGGTGAGCGCACAGTGAGGCCGCTTCAGGGTGTGCTGTCTGGTTAATCCTTCTAGCGATGATTTAAACCGCCATAAGTAGAGGCGCCGCCAGATCACGCCAAGCCTCCAGTGTGACTGCAGCCTAACATGACTACCCCTTTGCAATCATCACAAAGAAGGAAGACAGTTGGAGAATGGGAGCACAGAAATCCAACACAGTCTTCAATGTTTTAGGTTTCTTTCTTCTGTCAAGAGGAGGCGCATGCACATACGCCAAAATTAGTAACTATTCACTGCAAATGTATTAGGCTACTGTTTATTCTGGATTAGGCAAAACCTAACTTGTCTGCTAGGAAAGATGCTTTTGTTCATCGAGCAATCAGTAGAACAGGGGTCCCCGACCTTTTTGAGAGTTCAGGGACCTTTGGAATTCTATCATAGCATGGTGGGTGTGACCACAAAATGGCAGTTCCAGGAGGCAAAGCTCACCACACAATGGCCTCCACAGCTTACCTTCAGTCACCCAGTAAAGATCCTTGTGTTGTTGTGGCAGCTGCTGCCAAAGCAACATTTTTAAACGTCTGCACAGCCAATCCATTCTCTAATGGTCAATCAGAGGACTTGCTGAGCAGAAGCCCCACCCTAGCTCCACCCACTTTCTAAACACACTTGGTGGGCTCCAGAAAAGATACTGGTGGGTGCCAAGGTGCCCACAGGCACCATGTTGGGGCTCTTGTAACTGTAGAATAGATGAGGAAGAAGGAAGGACGTCAGGAAGCTCAAAATGCAGGAAGCACAGCCCTACCCTAGGGTTCCCAAGTATAGCTTACCTCCGCAGTGGGGGACTCCTGGGTGGATCCCGGAGCACGCGCGGGCGTGCGCCACTCGCATGTCACCAGGAAGTGACGTTATGACGCCATAGAGTTTCCCCTCAGATGGTCGTGGGCCGTGGCCCCGCCACCAGCATGCCCGGCGTCATAACGTCACTTCCTGGTGACGCGCACGCCAGGGTGGGGTTCCCCCCGGGGCCCGACTCCGCAGCGGCGTAAATCTGGCCTCCAAAGCGGGGGTTTACCCACCCCCCACCCCCACTTGGCAGCCCTACCCTACCCACTCCTGTGATGTTCAGAATAGTGCAGATATGCTGAAAGCTGGCAGGCACAAATACACCAAACGTTAAATACTCATTGAGAAAACTTTATTAGTGGCTTAGCACAGAGGGTACTTTTTAAAAAAGTTCTAACAGCCTGAATTCTGTTTCATTAGGCAAGTTACACAAGTAAAAAAAAAATTATGGGTTCATTGCTTTCAGTTTCAGTAACAAATTCTTACAATATTTGTCATCCCCCAAAGTGAACAGAAGCATAGACTTTGGGTTAACTGGCAGGTAGTCTCCCGGATACGTTCTTCAAGGATCAGCCACGCTTCTCTTTACTTTCATTTATCACTTTGCATATCACTAAATATCCTATCTTTATACATACCCTTTACCTTTTTGACATTGCTATACACGATTCTTAGAAATCTACATATGCTACCCACACAAACATGGTACTATCTCAGAACTGTTATTGTTCTGGAGTGGTAGAGTGACAGGTCAAGTTCAAGCTAGTGTCTTCTCACTCACAGGCAGATTCCCAGCATAGGATTGCTGCAGATTTGTTGCTGATATGGCACACTACAAACTTACTACAATGGTCCCAAGATCTGGAAAAAAATTATCCTCTGCCTTCAGTACAGAGGTCTTTATAGAGTTACAAAGAGAAAAAGCTTCACTTTACAGTAGCCACTTTCCCTAAATATTCAGTTTCTAGGAATGACATTTTTAATGGTAGTAATCATTCATGAGATTGCTTGTGTGTGTGTGTGTGTGGGGGGGGAATAGTAACTGGGACAAGGAAATAGCTGAATTCTGTTGAAATGGAAATCATTTAAAAAAGATCTCTCCCATTCAGTGCAAAACAGTGGACAAGATTCTATTAAAAATCTTTTGCAAGTTTGTTTTTGTTCTTAAAAAAAGCATACTTTCCCAAAAAAGCAACATCCCTTTGGCTTTCCACAATTAAGCATAAGACTCAACACCACAAACACATTTCAGAACACATGTATTATTGTGCTTCACCATAACCAGGTTGAAATTGGCTCTTTTAGAGCCTTGAAAATAGGTTTCCCTTGTGAATAGCCAGAAGTTAGGCACTTTGAAGTCTCACTGAGTCCAATATAAACTGTTAAGCACATCTGCATACATGCAACATGCATGTATCTGGACACTGGTAAACCAAGGCAAAGACAGTCATTTCTCACTTAATGTTTTGACACATGTACTAGTAAAAAAAACTCCCCCCCCCCATAGTTATTGGCAGTGTAAATAAAAATGAATGCTAAACATAGTTTTTCCCTATGCCCAGAAAAATGTCTATCACAAAGCATGCTGATGAGGATAATTATTAAATGAAATGTTTTGTTTTTTTAAAAAAAACACAGCAACAACTGAGGAACAAGCCTAAATATCTAGATGAGAAGGCGGTGAAACAGTTATGAAGCTTAATTAATTGAAGATGATTTCAGTTAGGACCATCACAAAGGTGTCATCTGACGAAGGCTGGTTAGAATAGCTTTAAAACAGCTTTCCCAAAAAGTATTTCAGCTTTCCAATGTGAGCAGCTCCTTCTCTACTTTCATCAGAAGAAGAAGAAGAAAAAAGAAGAGAGGATTCTAGCCTGGACAGTTGTGGAGAAAGGGCACTGGTGCTTAAGTACTATCATCCATTAGTGATTAAGAAAAGAGTTCATAAGTTGGTTATTTTCTTCCTTTCGAAGACCTCCCCCCCCATCAATAGTTTCATAACTAGTTACAGTTTGCCCAGCGCTAAATTCTTGTGTGTGTTTTCTCTTTAAAAGGTATCGTTCAGTTCCTTTTCAAACCACAGAATGGTCATTACTGTGAACTCCAGCCAAGATGGTGTGATTGAGCGAAGAGGCAGACCGGTCAGAGCCTTCCGTCGGGCCGTTAGCACTCTCGCTGCGCTGACAGCAAAGAATCTGTTTGAAGGTGGCACTCATTTCCTTGTCCCGGTAGGAGTAGATGATGGGGTTCATGGCAGAGTTGAATTCCGCAAGTAACAAGAAGAATTTTTCATACGCCAGGACATTACACTGTGGGCAGCAAACATCAAGGAGAAGCAAGACTAAGCCAGGAGTCCAGCAGATTATAAAAGCACCTGGAAAGTAAGAGAATATTTTATTTAGTTTATTGTTTGATACATTATTTTTCCTATGGTCTGCCAGTACTTCCCCAATTGTATTCATAGCTTGGTTATGGACCTCTTCCTTCCTATCCCAAACTCCTCCTCTGTTCACCCCACCACATCTTCTCGTCCCTTTTGGGGCAAATCTATTCTCTGGGTTAGTTTGCTCTGGACTAGACATGTGGGAGGAACAGAATTTGGAATAAGTGAGCATTTGGCTGGATGTAATACAACTACACACTAGGATTGTACAAATGTAAATAGTTGTTACTGGACTATTATATATAAATTAGAGGTATGCACTCGGTGTATCTGAGTCAGGAAAAGACCTGAAAAATACCTTGCTGGCGTTTTTTTTGATATTTTTTTCAGCCAGATATCAGCTGGGGTATTTATCTGACTGTCCAATATGGCCGAGCCTAACCCCCCCCCTAAATATTTGGGATTTTTCAGGGTCGCTGGATAGCTGGCATTAAAGGGTGTTTAAAGGGATTACAGTCCCTTTAAACACTTTCCAGGTGAAGCTGTGGCTTGGAGAAGGCATTTAATGGGACTGTGAGCCTTTTAAATGCCTTTGAATTCAGTTGCAGCTTGCAAAAGGCATTTAAAGGGACTGCATTCTTTTTAAATGCCTTCCTCCTTCATTGGAAACCATGGAGGATAGGGGCACCTTCTTTTGGGGCCCATAGAATTGGACCCCCTGGTCCAATCTTTTTGAAACTTGGGTTTGTTTTTTTAAGGAGAGGCAAATTTGGTGCCTCTATCTCAAAGAACAGCCCCCACAGAGCCCCAGATAATCCCAGATTGATTCTCCATTATACCTTATGGGGACCATTGACTATAATGCTGGTGGGTGCCATGACTATAATGATCCCCATAGGGTATAATGGAGCCAAAAAAAAATTGTCAATCCTGAATATTTACCAAATCTGAATGCCATGCCAGTATTGGGATTCAAGAATATCAGGAAATACCGATATTTTTCAGGTTCAACATACCAGAACCTGAAAAAATACCAGGGTTTTTTTAACATCACTAAAATAAATTGCCACAATTCTATGAACAGGTCAATCTCACTGTCTTGTAATTTTTTTGTGATTTCCCCCTTTCTGCTCTGTACCATGGATAGGATAGTGATTACTTTCTGGTTAAGTATTGCCTCCCTTCCATCCTTCCCTCATCAAGGATCTATTGTGCCAAACTGGGACCCGTGTATACATCATACTAAAGAGATCCCTTTTTGTTCCGGGACTCTTGTTCTAGTACTTCGCATGTAGGTCACTCTATATGGGAGGCCTTATATGGGGACTGATTTGGGTCCTCCATTTGATTCTCACAACAAATCTTTCAGGAAAATTAAGCTGAGCGAGAATGACTGGTGCAAAGTCATCCCATAAGTTTCATGGTAAGCAGGGATCGGAATCCAGGTCTCTTTGGTCCGACTTCAGTACTGTAACCACCAATGCTCCCTCTAAGCTGTAGAGTCTTGTGAGCAAAAATTCTACTTTGTGAGCTACTGGGATTAAAGTTGTGAGTGAGCTATTTGGATACTGCATAAATTAGTTTGCTCTGGAGCCATCCTTCCTGAGCAAAGACAAAAACATGTGAGCCGGAGGCTAAAAAACTGTGAGCTAGCTCACACTAACCCAGTTTAGAGGGAGCACTGGTAACTACTGTACCACACTGTCTCTTCTTTAACATATTTTTTTTGTATTTTCATTAAAAATAGCAAGCACTGTATTACCATAGCAGAGCAAACTATATCCCCTCCCCCCAGACTTATACAGTTAAGATCAGGAAGGACAGTCGCTTGTCTGGGTTTTGCGAATCCATTTTAGTTTCCTAGTTTCAGCAATAAATAGAGGACGCAAATGCACTATTAGTGTACTGTAGTAACAGTCAGACAGCTTTATTGTACGGTCAACAGACCTTCCAGTCATACATTCATAAAAGCAAAATACAGGAATTGCATGTTAGTGTAGTAAAATGCTATTCTATAGCTGTGTTTCTTTCTTGAAAGTTTTGCTGAATAGTAATTGAGAGGCTCTTTGAACTTGCATCGACAAAAAGGGAGTATAGTCCCAATTCACGTGCATAATGTCTGCTTCCTCATTTGTAAAGTGGTGGGTTAAGATATAAATCAGATGCTGACATGAAATTGTGTTATTTTAAATGAATATTTTGGCACCAGTATTCATCTACACAGAAGGTCTTGCACATAAATGAGAGGAAATTAAGGTATTTTCTGTGAGTGGGACATATTTCATTTGTGCTCAAATGGTATAGTCTTTTGCTGTTCAACAGTATGCTTTTGTTTGTTGCATTCATAGACTGCTTATATACTTAAAGATAAACATGTCCTTTCCTGAAATTAGAGTTATTTGCAACCACAGAAAAAGCCTCATGCTTTGGCTCATGTGGAAAGAGCCTGCCTAGTTGAGAATATCTCCAACAAGTGAATCTGAACAGAGAGTCTAACTGCAAGATGAGAGACTGCAATTCTATTAGTGGCACACCGTGGTGGTAGAGAGTAAACCCAATTTTGTGAAAGCGAATGTGATAAAGTTGGAGGGGTGAGCTTCACACTGGGGTCTGTCACCCTAGGACTTGAACCAGCCGAATAAATCACTTGTTCTCTGTGGCCTTAAGTGCTGTTTTACCACAATATCTACCAAACCCCAATCAAGCAAAGCCATAGCTGAGAAACAACCCATGAGTTTATTGCCTAGTGTCAGGAAGAGAGTTTTGAAAGCAACTCTTTCAGAATGGGTCTGCTGGCTCTTCTGTTCCAAGGCTCCTGCCCCTCTGAAAGGTGCACTGACAGACTGCAAGATCACAGGCAGAGCTGTCCCTAGCTGTGCATGCCCATGACAAGAACAATTACACTGATCAAACAACCGTTCAGCCCCTTGCAGTGGTGCAGAAGCCTGAGCGGAACAAGAGAGTTGGCAACCGGACAGCAGAGCAATCAGATGCACATGGCCCTTAAGGCCAATCTATATGTTATAAAGCCTTCGTGTTTCCTGGGGTGTGTGTGACATATATTGGAGCTTTGTGCCTCCCAGACTCACACATCCTATTCGATCCTCGCCACTGCAGATAGCAGGTAGGAGTGTCATCAGCCCCCCCCCCCCATTTCACTTCCTCCAAGTGCTCTGTGGAGCGGCTGTTAGTTCTGTTTGTGAAATCACATTATTTAGGAGGCTGCATGTAAATTTACCCACAGAGCCAACAAGAGCTCCATAAGGTGGTCTGCAGAAGTGAAAACAGCACGGGTAAGAAGGCTGACACTGCTTCTACCTGCATGATGCATTTGCAAGGATATGTGAGTCCAGGAAGCCCAGAACTCCAGTTGACCATTTGATACAAAGTCCTCATCTCATCCAGCAATAAGCACAAGGACTTTGTAACATAGACTGGCATTAAGCTGTTCATAGCCTACCTTAAGATTGCTCCCATAACTGGTAAGTAATGGAAGCCAGCAGCTTGAAAAGCTATGTTCTAGAAATCCCAATAATTATTTTGAAGAGGAAAAAAAATCCCAAGGCCAAACAGATCAGCAGGATAATTTTTGCTTACTTATAATAAATGAGCCATCTGCTCAAAATCTTATACAGTCAGTCCTTGAGGAGGGTTATTCATTTAAATGGGCCGTATCTGTAAAAGTGTGTGAAAGAAAAATCAAGGGATTGGCAAGAGCTGTATTTTTTATCATATTTCTCAGCAAATACAATGTTGTGGTGCATTTTTCTTTTCCATTCCATGTTATCCTGTTTCACTGATTTCTTTTTTGTATCTTGAAATTCTCTTTAAATAGCAGATGAAGGCTATTTCCAAGTTATGTTCTTAGGAATTCTGGGCTTCTAGGAAAAAATACTGACCAACATTACTGCACAAGACAGACTGACCATCATTACAAATCTTCCCTTGCAATGTATAATTCCCTTTTCCTGGATTTAGCAGCCTAAAGGCCATGCATCCTTAAAATAAGTTCAGTTTGTTAGATATATGGAAATTATGTAGCAAAATAGAGCAACACCCACCATGCAATTTTTTAGTTTGGAGGAAAATAAGAATTTAAATTTCTGAACATCAGGAATGCTTGCCAAGTGTCCAATCCAGGGAGTAAAACATCTATCATGGGACTTTTTAAAAAAGCAACAATATAAAAAAGTATGAAATATGCAATCCGGTAGGTGAAAACAAAAAACACATCTGTGGTTTTCTGAAGGAATATTTTTAAATCATTCCATCATTTCAGCTGAGTTAAAAGCATTACATTGCCCTAACATATATGCTTGTCTGAATTAAGGAACTGTTAAATAATAAAAATAAGACTGGACAGTAAATGCATCCTTAAACACGACGTTATAATGTAGAGAAGAGCCTTTATGTTTAGCATCAGTATAATAATACAGACCGGCATTCCAGGTGATAGGTGGGGTCTAATGCTCCCTCTAAGCTGTGGAGTCTTGTGAGCAGAAATTATACTCTGTGAGCTACTGGCATTAAAGTTGTGAGTGAGCGATGTGGCTACTGCATAAATTAGTTTGCTCTGGAGCCATCCTTTCTGAGCTAAGACAGAAGTTCTCCCTGGGAGATTTGCAAATGTCCCCTATCATGAAAGACTCTGCTTATGTAGAGGTAGAAAGCCAGAATCGGTAGCCCATGTTTTGCTCTATTGTGATTTCTATGTTAAAGTGCGGGATTTTTTAATTAGTCCCCTCTCACATAATTTCTGTTCTGATGAGAGGCTTGTTTCCCTTCTTTTGTCGGACCAGCATTCCTTTATTACCTGTTCAGTAGCAAGGTATCTCCTAATTGTTATGAGGGTTCGGGAGCAGAAGGTTAAGTCTTTTGATGGATGATTCCTTTTTCTGTATGATAAAAACTGCTTTTCCTGTTGTTTATGCTTATAACCTATGGCAAAAAAGGTGCTAACTGAATAGAATTACAAAAGAAGAATACAATGC